TTCACTGTCTATTTTGAGGTAACTTCTGTATACGGTGTGAAGTAGTGCTTCAACTTCATTCTTTGGTAGGTGGATATTCAGTTGTCTCAACATTTGTTGGAAGGCTATTTTCCCCATTGGAAAACGACGTCCTTGTGAAAAGCCAGTTGCCTAAAAACTCAGCAGGTAGTGAGTCATTTTAGACATGCTGCAATTGAGCTGTATGTGTAGGAAACCATGGCTTCTATGTGGAGCCCAGGAATCAGCAGAGTGAGCTCAGCAAATGCCCGGGGAATGACTATGCACCTGTGTGTTCACAGTGGAGCTGCCTCGTCACCCATAGGCTCGGCACTCTGAAGCTTGCCACTCCGGTTCTCTTTCTAGTGATGCTCTTCTGTTGGGGACTGTTTCTTTCCCTGGTTCGCTCTGTTGCTTACAGTTCTATTTTGCATAGTGACACAAATCCAGGAGAGCATTTTCCTTCTTGCCAGAAAGGAAGTGTTTATAAACAGTGCCCTAAAGCTGCTCAGTTAGACATCTCAGCTGGTCCAAGAAAGCTATGCCAGTGGACACATCTGATTTTGATCTGTCCACAGGCACACAGGCTCCAAGGTGTGGTGTGTTTCTATTTTCTGTAAAGGGTTTCATTTGTTTGCCAGGCCTGGCGTCTTTCTGTGTGTAAGCCAAAGTTAGAGAATTTAAATGTTTTCATTGCTAATGGGCTTTGGTGGGTCAGAGCTGAGAGGAAAGTCCTTAAAAGGGCCACTAATTAGAGCTATAGCATGAGTAACTGCAAGAACGGAGGACATTTAAGTTAGGCGAGGCAAGCCTTTCTGAAGACCACGGTCTTCAAGGAACTGAACAGCCAACTGGAAGAAAGAATAAGCTAAGTCAAAGAAGTGCAGCAGGGAAGACCCAGAGCAGAAGATAACATCAATCTAAGTAAAAATAAATAAATAAATAAAACGGTGTTGCTCACACCTCTTTTCTGGCACTTTTATCTCAATGCTCTGTGTGCCCCTTTTGGACTCCCCCCCACCCCCCTTTTGGACTTTATACTCCTTAAGGCCCAACTCTCACTCGTGTCTGTAGTTCTATCTCTAGCCCCACTGTCTTGCATTTGCTAGGCACTCAATATACATCTTGCAAGTAAACATTTAAGCAAATATAATACATGAAAACATACATAAATAATCCTTCCTATATAATAATAAAAGGGTAATATGCAAATCAACCAAAATGGCAGAACGACTAGTCACTATGACGCACACTGACCACCAAGGGGAAGACGCTCAATGCAGGAGCTGCCCGCCGGTGGTCAGTGCGCTCCCACAGTGGGAGCGCTGCTCAGCCAGAAGCCCAAAGCCAGGCAAGTGCAGTGGTGGTGGCTGGAGCCTCTCCCATCTCTGCTGCAGTGCTAAGGATGTCCGACTAACGGCTTAGGCCCACTCCCTGCAGGGAAGGGCTCCCAGGCTGCGAGAGGGCGCAGGCCAGGCTAAGGGATTCACCTCCCCACCGAGTGCACAAATTTCATGCACTGGGCCACTAGTGTATTTATAACACAGAAGTTTACACTTTAAAAAAATTCATGTTTACTGTAGTAAATTTAAGTTTTTAAAGTATTCATTTACTGAAATTATGCTAACATTAACTATTTCACACTACCTTTGTTGTGTAAAATAATATCCACATGTGTTGACGTTGCCAAACCAGTGGTTCTCAACCTTCCTAATGCCGCAACCCTTTAATACAGTTTCTCATGTTGTGGTGACCCCCAACCATAAAATTATTTTTGTTGCTACTTCATAACTGTAATTTTGCTACTGTTATGAATCATAATGTAAATATCTGATATGCAGGATGTATTTAGGCAACCCCTGTGAAAGGGTCGTTCGACCCCACAGGTTGAGAACCGCTGGCCTAAACCAATCACAATGTACACTTCTCTCAAAAACAAAAGCAAAATAAGGTCAAAGGGGGCTCTTCCTACTCAAAGATCTAAAAGCCTGCAATCATCACTCCAATTTGTTTCCTGTCCCAACCTCTAAACTACCCACTAGGGGACTAAGCAAAATGTTTACAGCCGTGCAAACACACCGAGCACCCGTGGCAGACACGCCTGGTCACACATGTCCACCACACACTACAAACACTCTTGTCTGAGGCTAGTCAGCCTCTCAGCTGGGATGGCCGTGGTGAGCAAGAAAAGGTTCCACACAATTGATTTCCTTAAGCATACTGCTCTCAGTTCTTTTAAAATCCAAGTCTGATCATTTCCTGTGGTCTGTTTTCTCCTGGTTTTTGTTAAGTCTCATCTTCTCAGGGGTCGGATCGTTTCTGAGTGCTGCTCGCGGTATCTGAAAACTCTACAGACAACTTGCGGCTCCTCCAGAGAGGATTTTCTTTCGCTCTGACGGGCAGGTAGGTGAGGGGTAAACACAACCCCAGGGCTCCTTAATGTAATCAGAGACCCGATGATTCAAAGCGGTGCTCCGGTTCTGGAGAGGGCCCGCCGACGTCTGGTTCACCCTTGTCCCTACACAGGGCCCTCCGGACAAACCTGGGTGTTTACTAGGGCTCCTCCTGGCAGGTTCTGAACACCAAGTTGTTATTTTTCCTCCTCACCCAAGGACATGTTTTATATATATATTTTTTATTGTTTTATTGCTTAAAGTATTACAAAGGGTATTACATATGTGTCCTTCCCCCCCCCCCCGCCCTTGACAATCCCCTGGCCTCCCCTACCCCCCAATGTTTTATATTTTTATTATTTTTAGAGAGAGAAACATTGACGTGCAAGACAAACATCGATCCATTGCCTCCTGTATGTGCCCCAACTGGGGATCGAACCCACAATCTGGGTATGTCTCCTGCCTAGGAATGGAATCTGCAACCTTTTGGTGGATGGGACGATGCTCCAACCAACGGAGCTACACTGGCCAGGGCCTAAACACCAAATTTTATGCCCCCAGTCCCATGAATCTGCCTAAAGCTCTAATCATCTTCTCAGCTGACAAGCTTCATGGGGAGAAATGGTGCCAAGTGCCAGGGTCACGTGTCCATCCTCTCCCATTGAAATAAAGCATTAATCAAAAAGTAATGTCATCATGTATTCCGATCTACAATCTAACATGCTTTACTGCTGGAAATGGGGATGCGGGACTCCATTAAAAAAATGCGAGAGCTGGAACCCCCAGCTCACACAGCAGGTGCACAGCCATGTCTGCTTCCTGTGCCTCCCCACCAGTTTCAGCCTCGTCCAATGATCTTACCACCTTCTAAAGCTCATGCCCAAGTTTCTGCTGTACTGGGTAGGAGCTGGGGTCAAGGCCACAAAAATGGACAACACATGAGTCAAGAGAGCAAATGCTCTTGCCTATTTCTGCCCATAACTGAAGAGGAAACATGATGGAGGAGAGTGAAAAAAGACCAGTCTGAGACAAGGAACCTGACTGTCATGTCCCTATGACCCCACTGTCTGTGCACCTGAGGCAAGCAACCTCTGGAGTCTGTTTTCTCATCTGAGCAATGAGGGACACGTACATCATTCAACAAACACTTACCGAGCACTTCCTACATCCCAGGTACAAGGCTAGGTGTTGAAACCAGAGCTGAGTAAACCAGCCCTCCTCTTGACCTCAGGACTAAGTCAGCAGTCCTCAGCTCTGACTGCACATGTAATAGCCTAGAGATGCTGAAAATACAAGACGCCTCACTCCAGATTAATGGAATCTCTGAGGTAGGGCCCTGGCACTGGGGGGAGGGAGGGCAGGGAAGAGGGCTTTTCAAATGTTTCTGATGCCCAGTGAGGCTTAAAAACCACTGGACTTAGAGGATTTCTAAGTTTCTGAATCTAACTTTCTATGACTTTACCAATGGGTACTTTTTTACAGGTCAAAAACCTCCAAAAACAATTCTGTGGTTTCATTAATAATTTGGGGGAAGGGTGGCTAAGGGTAGGCGGTATCTTGCAGTGCCAACAATCCTATGCTGAAAGGTCAAATGGCCCAGCCCGTGAGTCACCTCCAGTCTCAAGCATGCCTCCTGGGATTCAAATTCAAAAGCCACAGGCATCAAGTCATAAATGAGATTCCCCCGGGCCCCTCCAAGGGGCCACAGATGTCTGCATCTTGCCCTTCTGGGTTTGTTCCTCTGGGTTAAAGTACTACTTACCAAACTTGGGTCATTCACAATTTTTGTCATATCTGTTTACCACAAATGCTATTACTTAACCTTTTTCTTTAAAATCAACTCACTAGAACAATAAGAGTATTAGCCCTGCTGAATATTAAAACATAGTACAGAGCCTCTTTAATTAAAAGTGAGATGTTGGCACACGAATAAACACAGACCAATGAAACACAGTAGAAAATCCAGAAATAGGTCAAATGAATTGATAAAAGACGGCATCTCAAACATTTGGAGAAAATGGGATTTAATTGATTGACTGTGAAGGTCTAATTGGCTTTATGAAGCGAATCATGAATGGGGCAGCATCTCATCTAGCAACTAGAAGGGTGCTCCCAGAAAATGGAATTTTATTATTATTACCCTCACCTGAGGATATATTTTTATTAAGTTTAGAGAGAGGGAGAGAATGATTGGTTGCCTCCCATACTCAACCCAACCGGGATCAAGCCTGCAACCTAGATAAGTGCCCTGTCCGGAAGCGAATCTGCAACCTTCGGTGTATGGGATGACGCTCCAACTAGCTGATCCACCCAGCCAGGGTGAAAATGGAATTTTTAAAATTTTTAAAAAATTGATTACAGAGATGAAAAGAGAGGGAGAGAGAGATAGAAACATCAATGCTGCAAGAGAATCATTGATCAGCTGCCTCCTGCACACCCCACACTGGGGACCGAGCCCATAACCTGGCATGTGCCCTAACCAGGAATCGAACCACAACCTCCTGGTTCATAGGTCAACGCTCAACCACTGAGCCACGCCAGCCAGGCCGAAAATGAAATTTGTAATAAGTGGTATTGGGATAACTGAAAAATTAGATAGAAAGGATAAAGTTGGGTCCAGCTTTCAAGCCATATATTTTATTCCACAAGGATCAGGAAAACAAACAAACAAACAAACAAACAAACACCCCACTATGTAAGCAAGTACCAGAAAAAACACAAGTGAATTCAACCTAGAAGCATAGAAAACTTTCCAGCAAGAAGCAGTGAGTAATGATCAATGGGTCCATGCTGTCTGTCACTACTTGAGTCAGTTAAGCAGAGACAGGGTTGAATCCTATATGAGCATTTATTCCAATACTGCAGGCAGTATGGGAGCAGCAGGTCATCCACAAACATCTGCTCTGCCTCTCCCCATAAACCAGCTGCTTTTATTGGGCAGAAGAACAAAGATTACGTGGGGAAGTAGGCTAAAGGTTATACCAAATGGGCAGTTAACAGATAATGCAGGCTGGAGATTTGCAAAGGTCTGTGGGTATGCAAAGGCAGGAGGTGGGGGCGGGAGGATGTCTTCAAAGGGCTGGCAGCTTTGGTTTTTCCAACAAGGTTGAGTTAATCTTTCCATGAGAATCGGCCGAATTTCCAGTGAGCTCCCAGGTCCCAGGTGCAACTCCCAGCCAGGTTAGAATGTGCTTTCTTTAATCAGAACAAAACAATTACGGTTAACAGAGCATGGTTGATATTTCTTACAATTATAGCTGGACCCCAATATCCTATTTCTGCCCCTATCAAAGAGACTGGATAAAGAAATCTACTTATTTTCTCTTTAGTAATAATATCCACAAAATCACATGCATCAAGAACCCCTTCCGCATCATTTGGGCGCCACCTCTGCAGAACCACTTTGCCCAGGCTCTGACCTGCTGCCCAGGGGATGCCATGCGAGCCCTCTCAGAACCCACTTGGGAACTCCTATAGTGAGGACAATCCTTTGTCACATGAGACGGCAGTATGGAGAGATGCTTCTCCCTTTCTCCCCTAACATCAGTCCTCACCCATAATGGTCACCTGTACCGGCTCTTCCTCCTCCACTTCACTCCCCTCTCCCCATTCCTGCTCCCAGAGGTCACATGCCTTCTAAAACTCCTCTCCCAGGAGCCTTCGTCTTGGGTACAGCTTTCTGGAGAATCCAGTTAAAATTAGTGGAGTTAACACACTGTTTCTAATACACAGAAAAATAAAGACTTTGCTATTAAAATTTAGAAAGCATTCCTCAGATTAGCATGCTCCCCTACTCCCTGAGAGTGGGCTGTGAGTAGAGACTTTCCTGGGAAGAGGACAATATGAAAGGGGGGATAAATGAGTGACTTTATATAGTGATGACACCTCAACAGTCATAAGTCCTGCGATAGTATCTCCCTCTCTATATGTGATGCATGGGACTTCATCACTGTGTCTTCCTACCTAAAACGTATCACCCCAGTCTAATCATGAGAAAGGCACAAGAGAAATTCTAATGAGGGGCTCCCCACAATATGCCTACCCAGCACTCCTCCGAATTGTTGAGGCTACCAAACTCAAGGAAAGTCTGGAAAAGGACCACAGCCAAGAGGAGCCTAAGGAGGTATAACAACTACCTGTCATGTGCTGTCCTAGATGGGACCCTGGGACAGAAAAAGGAAATGAGGAAACTTGAGTGAAGGATGGACTTTGATTAATAATAATGTATCAATATTAGTTCACTAAGTATAAAAAATGTTCCTATGTAAGATGTTCACAGGGGAAACTGTATATTTGGGACAGAGTATGGAAACTCTCTGTAGTATCTGCTCAATTTTTCTGTAAATCTAAAATTGGTCTAAAACATAAAGTCTATTATTAAAAAGAGAACAAAAGCTTTTAAAAAGCTTCCTCCACCTCTGGCAATGGGGCCTGGGATCTGCATTTTGGAAGGACATACACACAGTGATTCTTAGGCACACTAAAGTCTGAGAAACACCTGGGACACTGAGAGTTATAGTAGATAATGTCCTGACAAAGAAATAACAGAAAAACACCCTCCAAATCACGCCTCAGGGCAGCGGTATGGAAACACAGACAAAAGCCCAGTCCCCCCGGCAGTGCATTAATCCATTAAGCAGGTAATGAAACAGCTTTCATCTTGGATGCCAGCTTCAACTGCTTGGGGTGGCTGCCCGGAATGTTGCACCTGGAAGGACCCATGCCAAGCGGAAAGAATGGCATGATTTACAGTCCATTTTACGGCGCCAGTGTCAATATTTACTAAGCATCTAGCAAGTGCCAGGCACAGTGCTAAGCTCTAGGGATCCAACAGAGATCGATATGGCCTAATCCTTTATGAAATACAGGAGAGAAAGTGTAATTACAAATACAACTACAGAAGAAGAAATGTGAGATGCCATAGCGACAAATAACAGGGAAAGGCCCTCAGGCAGCCTAGGGGCCACACACTGCTTCCCTGAGGAGGTGGCATTTAACTGAGATTTGAAGGCTAAGAAGTTAGCAAGGTGAGAGGAAAAGGAGGTGGACTTTGGTCAACGCATGAGTTAGTCCATTAGATCTTTTCTTACTTAAGGATTCCCAGAGAGAACAGAGAAGAGATCAGAGCGGTAGACACAGTTCCTCAAAGAGGCCAGAGTGGAGGGCAGACCCAAGAGAAGGCTTAAGGGTGCAGGGAGCCTTGAAGGAAGGGACTTAGGGCAAATATATCACAAGGGGGAGAGGATGGAGCAGGTGTGCAAGAGGCTTCCAACTCCAAGCTCACGTAAGCCCTTGTAAGGTAAGCTGTCCAGTGTCTCTAAAGATACGGGAAAAGGTGTCTCTGGAGCTTTACAAAGGCATGTCTGTTTTACTCTAGAACGAGAAACACACACATCGGCGCCCGTTTCCCCTTTTCCCATGGCTTCCATGAATTTCACAGCTAAGTGCACTCAATTACATTAACTTTCTTTTTAAATATTTTTATTGATTTCAGAGAGGAAGGAAGAGGGAGGGAGAGAGAAACATCAATGATGGGAATCATCGATCACTGCCTCCTGAACACCCCACACTGGGGACTGATCCTGCCGCGCAGGCATGTGCCCTGACTGGGAAGAGAGCCATGACCTCCTGGTTCATAGGTCAATGTTCAACCACTGACCCACACCGGGTGGACACAGCAACAATTTATTAATCTAAATACTCTGGTACAATGATCTCTACCCCAAAGTAGCATGCCTCCAGTTTTGTCTTTATTTCAATAGTTCTATTTTGTGTCTCTTAGAGAGAATGTCCCTAAATCTTTTTTAGAAGTCAAAGCATCAATAGCAGCTGTGGTTTCTAAACCAAATACTAATGATCACATATGATCAGGAAGTCATACAGTGATCTGACAAAAGGGCAGAATATTTGAAATCAGAATCGTGCCAGGTTTTCCTTCCTCACAGACACAACAGACTGGGGTGGGGAGGTAGATCACTAACCTCTACGGCGCACTATAAGCCAAGAACCTTCGAGTTGTCCTCATCTGACCCTCACAAAACCCTGTGAAGGTGGAGCAGCTCTTCGAAGAGCTCTAAAGACACATGCTCTGAGTATCTTTAGAGACAATGGACAGCCCACCTAAGGCTTGGATTTAGGAGCCTCTCACACGCCTTCTGACTTATGTTTGAGAAGGTTAAGAAATCTGCTCCATGTCAGCCAGCCTTAAGGAGTGGCTCTGGGGCAGAACCCAGGTCTGTCTGACTCTAAAACCCAGCCTGTTTAGAATACAGGGGGCAAAATGTGACCTAAATCAGTTATAACAAACACAAACTTCATTCACAGCTACATTACCTCCAAAGCAAGGAGTAGATGATGTCTTTCACACAGCCTTAAAGATAAAGACAGCGCATCTTCAAACACAGCAGCTGGAGAATTCAGGAACAGGGCTCCCTCCACTGGTGAGCACAGGGAGCCACGCCATTTCCTTCTTTTGAATCCTTTCCTAGTCCTTCCTTTGCCTTTTTTTTGGAGGGGGGGAGGGGGGGCGGGCGCGGGGAGTGGGAAGGGGACCTCTAAGTTAAGACCAGGATTAGACTTCCTTTCATTAACTTTATCTCTTTCTTTCTCTCTTCTTTGTTTAAATTTAACATTCTTACAATATGCATCAATAACTTTAAAAATGTTTATAGCCTTTGGCATAAGTAACAATACCATATTGCTAATTTACCTTAAGAAGATAATCAGAGAAGCATGCCGAGATGTATGTACACAGACATTTACCATCAAGGTATTTTCTTTTTTTAAAAAAAATATATTTTATTGATTTTTTACAGAGAGGAAGGGAGAGGGATAGAGAGTTAGAAACATCCCCTACTGGGGATGTGCCCGCAACCAAGGTACATGCCCTTGACCGGAATCGAACCTGGGACCCTTGAGTCCGCAGGCGGACACTCTATCCGATGAGCCAAACCGGTTAGGGCCATCAAGGTATTTTCAATGATGGGTTGCTCAAAACAAGCTAACTATCCTAAAACTGGGGTACTGGTAAATAAATTATGGTATATCATGTGATAGACTATTATCAACTATTTAAAATGTTTTCAAAGAATATTTATGACAAGGAAATGCATACATGTTAAATGTAAAATTTCCAATACAAATGCTTAGTACAATATTAAGTTTGTAAAAATGTTACACTTAATGAAAAAAATTAAAGAAATTAAATCACGTTTTACGGGATTATCCCTAACCAGCAGGACCAATACTGATTTTAAAAAAGTGGTGACTTATGCCCTAATCAGTTTGGCTCAGTGGATAGAGCACTGGCCATGCACTTGACCAGGGTCAATTCCTTCTTTATACCTTTCTATGTTTTTTAATTCTCTACATTCAACATATATTTCATTTAAATCAGAAAAAAATTATTTTTTAAAAGTAAGAGAAAATTGCCCCCAGAATTATTTCTATGGGGATCTCCTCCTTTTGGGCTAGGAAAGAGAAAACGGTGCCCTTGATGAGGGACCAGAGCCCTTCCCGCGCCAACCCTGAGTGCTGGATGTGCTCCTCGCTAAGTTGCCAGCGCGTGACTATTGCACATCTGCTGCTCACCCGATAACCTGGAGTCATCAAGCGTACAGTCCACCGCAAGGTTGAAACCTGGGTAGTATACATGTTCCCTTTAAAGGGAAGCAATCTTTATGTGAAACAATGCTGACATAATTTATTTTCATGTAGCTTATTTATGTACAATTATAAACTAGGTCTAAATTTTTGGTTTACATAACTAGACACAAACAACCAAACCAGTAAGATTCAAAATGACATTACTTTAAAACAGTGGTTCTCAACCTTCCTAATGTCGCAACCCTTTAATATAGTTCCTCATGGTGTGGTGACCCCCAACCATAAAATTATTTTCATTGCTACTTCATAACTGTAATTTTGCTACTGTTATGAATCATAATATAAATATCTGATATGCAGGATGTATTTTCATTGTTACAAATTGAACATAATTAAAGCATAGTGATTAATCACAAAAACAATATGTAATTATATATGTGTTTTCTGATGGTCTTAGGCAACCCCTGTGAAAGGGTCGTTCGACCCCCAAAGGGGTCGCGACCCACAGGCTGAGAACCGCTGCTTTAAAATAAAAGGATGAAGCCGCTCAAATTAAAAATCATCACCCACAAGGTAAATACAATAATGACAGTGGCCTAAAAACAGGCAGACAGAACAGAAGAGAGCCTAGAAAGATGCACACACACAAGTCCCATAGCCCCTAGAGCTGGCCTTTCTGATGTGACTTCTGAAGACATCTGGAGGGATGCTCCCCCCTCCCTCATTCTGCAGCACTAAGTTCAGAAATGTACTTGGACCAGCTGTTAGTGCAGGCTACTGGTGATCAACAAGGGATGTGTTTGTGCCTGTGTGTCTTACACTATATCTTGCAATCACATTGCACTCTGTGGTTACTCCAAGATTGATGAAGTGCCCTTGGCCCAGATGAGGGAGTCCCCTGGCACATAACCGGACCTCCAATATGCTAGTCCGGCCATGACTTACATATACAAGGCTGGCTTTGATGGGGGCAGGTAAGCTTTCTGAGGACTGGAGGTGATCCTCACTCAGATGTTACCAGCTGCGACTATGCACCCCTGAAGAGGATTTTGGGATCCAGGTGTTTGTACAGCCATTCAACTTAGAAAACATGGCTGATATTGCTGCCAGGTATCTACTGATATAATCAAGTATCTGATCAGCAATTTTGAGGAAAAATGTAATTTTGACTTTTATCTCATTCCAATTATAAGGATAACTTTAAAAAATTCTTACATATAAAACAGAAAAACTTAATACGTAACCAATCTTCTAGAAGAATTCCGTCCTAAACATAGGAAATGATGGGGGGGGGGGGGGGTGGGATCACAGAGAAAATTATTCAATGACATAAAACTCTCAAACTTCTTTATATCAAATATTTAAAAGATAAAAGGGAGATAGTGGGAATGTTCACAGAAGAGACTGTTATCAACAAATGACTAAAGTATATAAACAAATATATTCATATACTGTGTATGTGGGGTTTCTTGATGTTGTTTTGGTAGAAAAGGGATGCAGAAAGGGATTCAGTAAATGTCTGTGAATCTTTTAGGGATGGGGGATATTTGGGGGAGAGGGAGGCCTGGTTCCTTCCACCTCCTTACCCATATAATCCAGTACCATGGAACAGTAAGCCCTCAAAAATGATTTCTGAAAGAAGATATGAAAATACATTAAGGTCTGTTACAAAAAGAATTCAGGCAGTAGACTAGAAAATAATGAAAGCTTCAGACACAGCTTCTTCTTTTTTTTTAAAATCCACCTGATAGAATTCTTTTAGGTAAGAGTGGAAGGGAGGGAGGAGGAGAGAGAGAAAGATCAATGTGAGAGAGGCTTATTGGTTGGTTGCCTCCTGCAGATGCCTCAACCCGGGAGGGAATGAACCTGCAACCCAGGTACCTGCCCTTGACTAGGAATTGAACCTGAGACCCTACGGTGCGTGGACCGATACTCTAACCACTTAGCTCACCGATCAGGGCAGACATAGCCTTTCTTATCTGAGTAACTGGTTTAACAGGACTTTTTTGCTAAAACGTGGACCAGTTTCACAAGTGTTCAGCTTATTGGTTAGAATACATCTGCAGCCAATGCCTTTCTGAGATACTCCTTTGAAGGGAGAGTTTGGAGACTACATTCTAGACCTTTATCATTGGGTCACATCTAGGTAACTGAGGCTCCCTAGGTAAAATGATGTGTTATTTTCATTTTAAAAATTCAGGATTGAACAAAAAGAAAAGTGCTTTTTATGGATAAGACAAATTGTTTATACGCATCCAAATCAAATGAGCTGACAACAGACGTGATGAACAGACATAATGAACAGACTCCCTTGATTTTGGTTCCATTTGAAAGAGCCAAGTATTTGAGGTCCATGTAAATATACTTATATAGATGTTTAACTATAAATAGTCTGCAACAGAAAATCATGTTAAACTGTCAGCAGCATTTAAAAAATGTGTAAAAAACCAATGACTTAAAGAAAAAAGAACTGACTGACTCATTTTGGAAAAAAAATTTAAGAACTTTCATTTCTATGTCCATGTCTTTTTTTAAAAAAATCTGATCCAGCCCAGCTGGCGTGGCTCAGTGGTTGAGCACTGACCTATGAACCAGGAGATCACGGTTCGATTCCTGGTCAGGGCACCTGCCCAGGTTCCCCGCTTGATCTCTAGTGTGGGGCATGCAGGAGGCAGCCAATCAATGATTTTCTCTCATCATTGATGTTTCTCTCTCTCCCTCTCCCTTCCTCTCTGAAATCAATAAAAATGTATTTTTTAAAAAAATCTGGTCCAAAAGAATGGGACCTAAGAATGCTATTCCACTATTGTTGATAAAAAAAATTAAATGTTCTAGTCAAGAGGACCAGATAAACGGTAATTTTTATCAAATAAATAATAAAGGAAATCAAGACAGGAGAAAGATAGATCTATGGAAACAAGAGAGAAAAGCACCCACTTCTAAAATTCTTTGCTTCACAGTAATAATCTGAATTAAATTACCATATTTTCAATTAATTAGATATTAAGAGGAACTAAAATGTATTCTTAAAATTATCTTGATTCCAGATCTTTTCACTGACAGAGACAACCTAATATAGTTCCAACAGAACACAAGAAAAAAGTAATATTACTCTCTGCAGCTTCTGAAGCCCAGCAACTTAAATCTCCTCCAGAATTGAATAAAGACTCAAACTGCCCCTGAAAATGCAAACATCAGGGCTTCTTATTTCCAGTAACCATGGACTAAGTAAACCTGAACAGAGAACTAAAAAAGCGGGGAAAAATAGAAAAAATATCTGCTTGGAGGCTTCAAGGAGGAAGGCATGTCAGAGACTCCGGGAGGTGAACGCAGTTTTGGGGGCTACTTTTCCTGGTGATGGTGGGGGGGGGAAGTTGAATGCTAAAGACTGGGTGTTGGGTTGGGGGTGAAGGTGCTGGGAAGAATTGGACACTAGGAGGCTGGACAGAATGGTCTGGCTCTCACAAGGACTGTGGCTCCGCTTAGAAACATCTCAGTCCCTGTGACTGCGACTGCACTGAAGTGACTCCAGACCTTACGTGCCCCACTTGCCTGACAAAAGCAAATGTGAGTTATCACTAAAAGAGAAAAACATCATCATCTTCAGCCTCTATTTATTTCCACAAACAATTTTACAAATATGATGTCCAGCACACAATTATAAAACAAAACAAGGCACATAAGACAAGACAATATGAATAAAAACCAACAGAAGCAGACACTGGAAACGACTCACACATACTACCATAATCAAACTTTAATTATACATTCTGTAGTCAAGGAGATAAAGACAAGATTGAGTATTTTGGCAGATAACTGGAAACTATAAAATGAATAACAAGTAGAAATTAAAGAATAAAAAATATGTACCTGAAATTAAAAACTCAATTGATAGGTTTAATAGCAGATTATTCATAGTGGATGAGGAAGAGGTAAGTGGGATTATCAGAATGAAGGACAGAAAGACAGACAGAAAACATAGAAGAAAGGTTAAGAGACACAGAAGATACAGTGAAATGTTCTAACATGTATAATTGTAGTCCCAGAAGGAAACTCGAGAGAGAATTGGGCAGAAACAATATTTGAAGTCCTAATGGCTGATGACTTCACAAAATAATGAAAGACATGAAGCCACAGATTCAAGAAGCCCTAAAAACCTTAATTATATATTTTTAAAAATTGTTGAAAACCATACACAAAGAAAACACTTAAAAAACAGCCTGATTAAAACAGACAATTGATTTCTCAACAGAAACAATCCAAGTCAGAGATAATATATTTAAAGTGCTAAAAGGAAACAGTGGCAAATCAGGAATTCTGTAACTACTAAAAAACCATTCAAAAACAGAGGAAAATGTTCTCAAATTAGACTGTGGTGATGGTTGCATAATTTTTTGAAAATACCAAAAACCACTGAACTGTACACTTTATTTTAAAAAAATTTTAATATCCCAAATGGAAATCAAACCAGTGACCCTTTAGTGCACGGGATGACGCCCAACCAACTGAGACTCAGGGACCAGGGCACTAAAAACCACTGAACTGTACACTTTAAATGGGTAAATTTCATAGTATGTCAGTTAGACTCTGATAAAGCTGTTTTTGTTTTAACTGAAGGCTAAATAATGACATTTGGCAATAAGCACTATAAGAATCTGTCACCAGCAGACCTGCACTAAAGAAATCCTAAGGGTATTGTTCCGTCGGAAAGAAAATGACCCCAAATGGAAGAAGACAAATGTGCAAGGCAGAGCTATGGGTAAAAGATGACCCTTTTGATAAACACTGCTCTGAAAGGGTTCACTGGAGAACACAAGGCTTGAGCCTTACAAAATCTAACCAATGTCAAGGGGAAAGCTCGTTCTGTTAGCCTAAGCCAGTGGTTCTCAACCTTCCTAATGCCGCGAACCTTTAATACAGTTCCTCATGTTGTGGTGACCCCCAACCATAAAATTATTTTCGTTGCTACTTCATAACTGTAATTTTGCTACTGTTATGAATCGTCATGTAAATATCTAATATGCAGGATGTATTTTCATTGTTACAAATTGAACATAATTAAAGCATAGTGATGAATCACAAAAACAATATGTAATTATACATGTGTTTTCCGATGGTCTTAGGCGACCCCTGTGAAAGGGTCCTTTGACCCCCAAAGGGGTCGCGAACCACAGGTTGAGAACCGCTGGCCTAAGCCTTGCACAACATGCTCCCCTTGAATGGTTATTTTACAGGAATTCCTTAAGACCATCACCCCTGCACAGCCCCCCGCCCCCTCCCCGAGAAAGGACAGCTGGTGCCTGCAGAAAGACAAAAGACAAGGCCATAAAACTAGGACGGGAGGTGGGCAGGAGGGGGGGGGCGGGTCCTGATACCTGGGTCAAGCTGAAGCCCGGTCTGCAGCTCTCCCGAGCGCATAAAAAGCTTGCTCCCTCCCCAATTCACCACTGGCTCTTTCTCGAGTCAGACCACCTGCACCCAGCGGCCTCGAATAAACATCACTTTGATTACACTAAACCTTGAGTCCGTTCTGTGTGACCCCAGCCCAACCCCGAACCTTTCATGCTCAATAAGTGGTGTTGATAAGAAATAAAATTTGAACCCCTTTTCACAAGTTACACAAAAATCAATTCCAAGTGGACTGTAGATCTTAACTTGAAAGACAAAACAGTAAGATTTCTAGATGTTATAGAAAACTATCTTTTTTTTTAAAAATACATTTTTATTGATTTCAGAGAGAGAAGGGGAGAGGGAGAGAGACAGAAACATCAATGATGAGAGAGAATCACTGAAAGGCTTAGGGGGATCAAGCCTGCAATCCAGGCATGTGCTCTGACGGGAATCAAACCCTGACCTCCTGATTCATGGGTCCATACTCAACCACTGAGTCTCACTGGCAGGGCAGGAAGCTATCTTCTTGGTCTACAAACAGAACTCTTACAAATTAGGAACAAAAAGACACGTAAACCCCAAAAGAAAAGTGGGCAAGACATCTGAACAGGCACTTCATAGAAGAGGACACCAAATAAACATGAAAGATATCCAACCTCATTAGTCAGCAAGAAACTGCAATTTAAAACCACTCACCAGGATGGCTAAAATTTAAGGCTGACAATACCAAGTGTAAACAAGGATGTGGAGCACAAGAAACTCTCACACACTTGCTGGTAGGAGTGTAAATTTGTAAAAACACTTTAACAACTGGGAACAGTATTAGCTACTGAAGTTAAAGATAATGCATACCTTGTGAGCTAGAAATTCCACTGCTAGGTATACACCCAAGAGAAACGAATGCACCAGGAGACACATAAGAGTAGTCATAGCAGCATTAATAGCCAAAAGTTAGCTCCTGGTGCATTAATACAATGCAATACTATCTATAATAATAACATCATAATATGCTAATTAGACCGGATAGCCAAACGACCTTCCAGATGCCACGCCACGGCTGCGAGGGCTGAGCCCTTTGCACGAATTTCGAGCATCGGGCCTCTAGTAGAGTAATAAAAATGAACTACAACAGAATAAATGCATTTCAACAACATCTTCAGTGAGAGAGCCAGACACAAAAGAATACAGGTTGTATTATTTCATTTAAATAAAGTTCACAAAATGGCTAAGCAGTGAAACTACAGACACTTTTTATGGCGCATGTGCTTTAAAAGGTAAAATTACACACACACAAAAGCAAGGGAGTGATTATCTCCCACACGTCTGGGCTGGGCTGCCTCTGGAGCGGGACTTCCGGGCTGCCGGCAATGAATTAGTTCCTGACCTGATGACCAGCAGACCCCCGGCTGGGCGAGACCCACAATTTAGGTCTTGCACTTTATGGGGGTTCAGAAGGGAAGGAAAAGGGGACGAGGCAGGGGAGAGGAAGAAAGCAGCCCTTCACAAGTAAGCCGAAGGCGGCTCTGAGCGCCGGCAGCGGGCGGCGTGGCCCAGGGGTCGCCAGCCCGAGAGGCGGAGGCCAGAGGGGCTTCGGGCCGGTCTCCTGGGGGCTGCGAGGCACCCATCCGGGCTTCGGCCACCATGTGCCACCGCGCGGCCGGCGCGCGGCCACACCTGCCTGGGGCGTCCACACCCCGCAAGGCCGGCGCGCCCGCTCCCTCCAGCACGCCCCCACCTCGACACCCCCGGGTGCTCCCACCGTTCTCGACGCCCCCGCGACTCCCCCGAAGCCAGCCCCGCGCCCCGCGCTGCCCGCCGTGTCCCCTCCCGCCGAGGCGTCCGCGAGGCTCACCTCATTGTCGCTGCCGGGGCGGGCGCGCGGGGCCGGGCGCGCGGCGCGGGGCGCGGGGCGTTAGCGGGGGAGCCGGCCCCGGGCGCGACGGCTCCGCGTCTCGCTGGGCTGCGGGGGGCAGCGGGGGTTCATCTTCTCGAGGCGGGTGTCCGGGCCGCTAGCTGCGGGGATGGGCTGCGGCCGCGACGCCTGACAGCTGGGCCCCGGCCCCTGCCATCTTGGCGGGCGCGTGCCCGGGCCGGCGAGTGCGCGCGCCGCCAGAGAAGGTGGAAGGAGGGGAGGGGGCGGCGGCCCCCAGACCCGCGGACGGGGAGGCGGGAAGGCGAATTCAGCCCTAGGGACGAGACGGAGGGTGCGCCCCTCCGCCCGCTGAGGGGATGCGCGCGCGTGCGACCCTCCGCCCGCGGCCGCTGAGGGGAGAGCGCGCGCGGCGGTCCAAGCCCGACACAAAAGGCGCGGGGCCCCACCGCCCGCGCCTCCGGGAGACGGGAGCGGGGAGCTGCGAGGGGCGGGGCCTTTAGGGGCGGGGTCATGATAGGTGGGGCGGAGCCGCGAGAGGCGGGGTCGTGATAGGTGGGGCAGAGCTGTGAGAGGCGGGGTTATGATAGGTGGGGCGGGGCTGTGAGAGGCGGGGTCGTGATGGATGGGCGGAGCTGTGAAAGGCGGAGTCCTGTGAAGAGGCGCGGGGCCTTGGGAGGTGGGGTCGTGAGAGGTGGGGCGGAGCTGTGAGAAGGGGATACGGGAGGGGCGGGACTTTGGGTAATGGGTGAGCGATGAGGGGCGGGGCTTAGGGGCGGATACAGGAGGTGTGGGGTCGCGGGTAGGGCGGAGCCATGGTGGGGCGGGGCCTAAAGGAAGTGGGTAGTTGGGCCTGCACGTGGAGCGCTGTGCCCCTCCCCGCGCTGGGCGCTCCTGCACCGATGCAAGCCGGTGAATGCACCAGCGTTGGTGCGCGGTGGCTGGAGGGTTCCCACCACCTCCGGCGCTGCCGTGCCCCCAGAGGAGCGTCGAGGTCACCGACTCCTGACACCTCTCTTTCTAAATAAAGAGCCACGGCTGGGACTGGGAGTCGCAGCTTTTGGGGAAATACCAGCTCCGGAAGGATTTCCCGAGGCCCAACAAGAGCCCCACCTAACGCCCCAAACCTGTGAAAAATCACATCCAAGTAGGTCAGACAGGTTTTCTCTGGTTGTTAAATCCCCATCCTTCCTAAAGGTGAGCGCTTCTCGCAGCTGGCTGGAAACCGGAACCCGCAGGGTCTCACTTCCCCTATCCAGGTGGACACCTTCCCCTCTGTCACAGCACCATGGACATCACGTCTACCTTTCAATAAGAAGCTGTCTGGCGTGTGGCAGGGCCTGGCTTACCGCAGGTGGGCCCAGATGGAGACGAGGCTGTGAGTGCTGTGGTTTTGCCCACGATAAGGAAGCGGTGGGGCCACTTCTCCCGCCAAGGTTCTTCTGACTCAGCATCCTAGCGCCCACCCATTGGTTGTCTGCGGTTGCACATCATTCCCAGGTGTTGCAGGTTGGTCTCTACATGTTTATCCCTCTCCCTCACCATCTACCTGTCAGAGTTCCTTAGTGACGTGACGGGTTGTCGCATCTCCACTTTCCTTCTCCTGCTGGTTTGAACCTGAATCTTTAAACTCGGAAGGGCACCTTGGTTCCCTAGTCTTGGCAGCAGCCCCAGAGGGCATCAGCCCCTCCTAATCGGATTTGTCCCTCTCTCCCAAGTGTCCAGATTGGTCCTTCTTGACCAATCCGAAGAGAGTTGTTAAGCCCTAAAAATTACTAAGATGGACAAGCCCAGGTCACTTGGTGTCATGTCGGTGTGCTCTGCAGAGGCAGGGTTACCCCTGGCCAGTGCGTCTCGAAGTTCTCCGAGAAGATTCCCTGGGATATTGGCCTGTGCATTCCCAGCTTGGTTTGTGGAAGCACGTGGCCCACTCTGACCTTCCGGTCAGGCACTTTCCCTGCTGACCTGGAGTCCGACAGGTTGTTACTATCCGGTAACTGGACGAAGGTTTGCTGGGAAATATCGATGGTATAGTTGCTATCGAACACGAGCAACTATATCGATGGTATAGTTGCTATCGAACACCAAAGGCGAGGGGTACGTACCCACCCCCTCCATCACCCTTTCCTGCTACCTACCAATCCCCTGGAACAGTGGTCGGCAAACTGCGGCTCGCGAGCTATATGCGGCTCTTTGGCCCCTTGAGTGTGGCTCTGCCACAAAATACCGGCTTCTGCGCATGCGCCCGTCTAACCAGCCCAAGGAGGGGAGAGCGCGCAGACCCAGCTGCAGAGCTCTCTGAACCTCCGTTCTCATTCGAGAGAGGGGACACCTGATTCTGTCTTGCGGGCCCTGCTGAGAATCAGCACAAAGCAAGCTCCCTCAGAGCAGCCTTCCTGCCCTTCTCCAGCACCTCACTCATGTCCCCACCCCCTTTCCCTTAACGATGCATGCAGCCTTTGAAACATGTCCTTTTAGCGAGTTTCCATTTACTGAATAAAGGCGTTCTTCCTTAAAAAGCACATGAATTCATGCATTCCATTCTTCTGATAAAAAGAAAACATTTTAGCCGAAACCGGTTTGGCTCAGTGGATAGAGCGTCGGCCTGCGGACTGAAAGGTCCCAGGTTCGATTCTGGTCAAGGGTCAAGGGCATGTACCTGGGTTGCGGGCACATCCCCAGTAGGAGATGTGCAGGAGGCAGCTGATCGATGTTCCTCTCTCGTCGATGTTTCTAACTATCTCTCTCCCTTTCTCTCTGTAAAAAAATCAATAAAATATATTAAAAAAAAAAAAAGAAAACATTTTGGGGAAATATGTGGCCCCTAAATGATTTGTTTGTGGAGGTCACCAGTTTTTGGATTTGAAAAATAGCTCACCGAAGTCAGTGACTTTGACACAACAGTTGTTTTCTGGAAATACAACACAATTTGTATTCATTCATTCATTCATTCATTCATTCAGTGTTTATTGAGCACCTACACATTTTTGCCTCCTCTCCCACCCAGGCAGGCCACTGCCTTAGTGTACATGGCAAATCACTTATACACCCCGCCCACGTGATCTTGCTCCTGGAACCCTGAGCCCCCGCATGCACCATTCTCCACGTGGCTTTGGGGCTTTGGGCTCAGCCCATTTTCCCTGCCACGACGGTCTTAGTGGCTGGCTCCGCCACCAGCCTGGGAACTTCATGAGGGCAGCAAGCATGTTTTATTCCTCTTTGCCCCCCTTCGAAGAAAAGCCGAAGACACCCTGCTGAAGCACCATCCTCATCGAGGAGGTGCCTGCGGGGGTCGGACCAGCCTGTGTGCACAGGCATGACCTGTAGAAGCGCGAGTTCCTGCCTGTATCCTGGTTCCATCTGGCAGGAAATATAAACAGCTTCCAGCCCATTTTGCCTTCCTCACGCTTGAGGGTGGGTCACAGCTGGCGCTGCTCATTTCACTCCGTGTCATGGGCTCTTTGGCTCAAAATACAACTCTCCTTAAGGTTCACCCACTTTGAAGACTCAGGAGGTGGGGAGGGGGAGGGGGGCTCTTGGGAAAGGAGCCTGCTGGTGTCATACTGGGGGGAGCCCAGTTTCCTGATGGGGTAACTCCAAGACCTGGGCCAATCAAGGGGAAGCTCGGCCAGATGTGGGGGGGACCTTGGGCACTTGCCCAGCAGATGACAACTTCTTAGTGCCATTGTTGGCAATAGGAGGAGGGCTGAGTCCCAGGCTGGAGCAGGCCTGCCTTTCTGGAGGGGTCTGGAGCCAGGTCCTGCCATCTCAGACTCCATGAGTGTTCCCACTTCATTAAGAAAACTAAGCCAAGTACATGCCTCAGGCCAGCCTCCCGGCCCGGCCGCCAGGGAGCCCAGAGGAGAGGGAGCTGCTGACTCTGTGGGAGCCTATGCCCTTTCCCAGGAGCCCAGGACTCTGGGAAGGGATGCACCCCCACCCCAACCTCAAAAAGCGCCCCCCCCCCCCCCCCCAGTATCCCAGCCTCAGTCATCAGATCCCTGTATGGCGTGTGTGTGTGTGTGTGTGTGTGTGTGTGTGTGTGTGTGTATGGGGGAGGGGGGGAGGAGCAGTGGGGAAGGAGGGAGGGGGGAGGGGTGTCAGCCCTGGGGAAGAACTTCCTGGTCACTTCTCCCTGTTGGCTGTCTCACACTGGCCTCGGCCTTGGACACCCTGACAGCCAGGCCTTTGTGGGGGCCGATGGAACTCACTCCCACGTGGGGCTGGAAGGCCTGTTTTAAAAACAGTACATGTTTTTAAAATATAAACTTTAATTAGGGGCAGTGAGAAACAGAAAACACACTGATCTAAACTCAGTTGGCACACTTTCTGCGAAGGGCCAGGGAGTGCATGTCTTTGGCTTTCTGCAGGCCATTCAGCTTCTTTTCTAGCTATTCCACGGGGCCTTACAGTGTGACGGTTGCCACAGGCCACATGTAAATGAATGGACATGACTGTTCTCCAATAAATGTTGTTTATAAAAATAAGAGGCAGGCTGGATTGGGCCTGCAGGCCATTGTTTTGATCCGGGACCTAGAAGATCAAATGAAAAAAAAAAAAATCCCTCACAAAGCAGAGTAAAATAGGAGGAAATGGAAATTATCATTTTGACAAAATGAGACACGTAAGTGATAGATTCAAGGGGCCCAACTTCTCAATAATAGCAGTTCCAAAAGGGGTGAAGGAGCAGAAGCCATAATTGAGGACAAAATAGAGTTTTTAAGATAAAAGAACTCACCAGAAGATTGGGTGTTTTCCCCTAAGAGCAGGAACAAGACAGGTTACCTATCTCACCACTGCTTCTCCATGTTGTAATGGAGGCTCGTCAGGGCCATTAGGCAAGAAGACATCACGAATGGAAAGCAAGTAAAACTCTTATTTGCAGACGACATGACTTTGTATATAGACAATCCTAAGAAATCCAGTAAAGAACTATTTAAATAAATAAGTTCAGTAAGGTTGCAGGATTCACAATTAAGGTACAAAAATTAATCGCATTTCTAATCACTTGCTTTGAACCTCTGAAAATAAAATTAAAACAATTTTATTTACAGTAACTTCAAAAAAGAGTAAGATACTTAGGTATACATTTAACAAGAGAAGTGTAAGACTTATACACTGAAAATGACAAAATGTCATTGGAAGAAATTAAAAACCTAAATAAATGGAGAGACACCCTTTCATGAATTAAAGGGTTTAATATGGTTAAAATAAAAAGAGTCCCCACGTTGATCTACAGATTCCACACAATCCCTGTCAAAATCCTAGCTGCCTGTTTTTTGTGTTTGCAAAAATTGGCAAGCTGATCCTAAAATTCACTTGGAAATGCAAAGGATCCAGACCAGCCAAACAATTTGGAGAAAGAAAAACAAAATTGGAGGAGTCATATTTCCTGATTTCCAAATTTATTGAAAAAATGATAGTAATCAAGACAGTGTGATTGATGGAATGGAACTGGGAGTCCAGAAATAA